AGGTGTGAAGAGAAATGTTTATATTCCATGCTGTTGCTGTGCTCATATCTAAAGTTTGTAATATCCTAGCTGGACCAGAATGCACAGTGTAGATTCTCGTATTTGGAAAGAAAAATATCCTATTAGCCTTTGTACGGCTTCTCGGGAGAGATTTCTTTAAGGAGTTGCGTCATAATTGGAATTGGATACTTTAATTTAACATCTCTGGAAAAGTTTAAAGCGTAAAACCTGCACATACAATATTTTTACAAGGAGAACTGCTTAGTTAACCGTCTTCTCACCCCGTCACCCCTTCCACCCTCCTTAACAAATCACCCTTGCGAACACAGAAATGTGTACGCCGACTAATTCCTCTTGTACTCTCGTTATATTTTAGTCCAGCGTTTTGTGAAAATCGTGCAAGAGATTAATGGTGTACTGGTGCAGTGTCTAGAGCAGGAGTTTTATCACCTCATGCATATTTTTATCCCCTCCCCCACATTTTTGTCTCTCCCCTTTCCAACCCTCCACAAACCCTACGCACACGTTCTCTGTCCCATTTTCTGAAACCGCGATCTCCGTTCATCTTGCCTTAGCACTGGATACTTGTTACGCGAGGGTGGGAAACTTCATCACAGTTGTGTTATATCAACTGGACACATGCAGAATCCTGGAAGGAGCTGTCATTCCCGCCTGCTCGCCAGTGCAATTGTTTCTAGCGATCGGCCCCTTTAAAAGCACTTGATTGAATTTTCAGTCCACGGAATTATTTCACACGTGGACACCTGAGTTTTTAGAAACGTTCTGGTGACGTGTTAATGCGTACGTGTAACACGATTAACTCTGGGTGAAGTTAAACGGTTGATGTCTCCTCTGGTGATCGGCCGTCAGAATAGAAAATCTCGAAAGTTTCGGAGACTGTCTCTGCCAGGAACGGTTAACCCTTTGAAGCCGAAGATCGTCTGAATATTATTTATGAATTCAGTCCGTACCGCGAAGAAAACACTACACCTCACCATTACGAAAATCAGCTGGTTAACCCTTTGAAGCCGAAGCTCGTATTCATAATATTTACGAATCCAGACCGTACCGCGAAGAAAACACTTCACTTAACCATTAGAAGTCGAATCAGGCGGTACCACATAAGATTTAACATCCCGGTCAAAGCCTTAATCGCCCGTGGCTTCGTTGCATTCAGTCGCCGTTATAACCTCAGATATTACGTAATATGAAAGTAGCACGAATTAAGATAACCACTTTCTATTCGCGTGTGTATCTGCGGAACACAACAGTCTCTTAAGGTCGTACGAGAATTTCAGAATGTAAATTTTCTGATTTAATTATTACAATAAAAGTTTTGTCAGATGGGGCAATATAATATTTGATGGAAAAACAGTTTCGAGAGCCGCTTGGGACATTAGTGCAGATGGGAGGATAGTATTAAAGTAGATCTTGGAGAAAAAGTTTGTTGAACTGTGAATTGGGTTGGGCCAAATCAACTGACTGGCTTACTTAAATGGACCTTCGCATTCTGTAAAAGTAATAACTTTTTAAACCAACTGATTCTTAACTTTACTTTTATTAATATTAATAGCACAAAGGAGACTCTAATCAGTGTTTCTTGGCATGCTTGTGTGTGTGTGGGCCTACATATTAGTATATAATATGTTTTAGCATATATTATGTGGAGCATGTGTGTGTGATGTTTTTGTATGAATCGTTGCCAGGATTAAGTTATATGAGGTGGTAGGTGGTCCGAAATCCAGGTTTGACAGAATTCTGTGCTCAGAGATATCATTGGTATGATAAATTTAGAAAACATATTTTTTTTTCATTTTTCATAAATGTCTGGAGACAAATTTTACCTAAAAAAGGATTAGTTCCCTGCATATCGGTGTAGAGTTAATTTTCCAGACTTTTCTTTGCAAGTGTCCGGTTTCATTATCAGATGGACTGTCTGATATCCTGAGTGACGTTTGTGGTGTTTTTTTTAATCAGTCTCTACAGACGAATACACAGTACTTCGAAATAAAACCTCCTGGTTAGTATTCAGACAGGCGCAGGTCAAAATCTCGGTCCGTAGAGATCTGGAATGCGCCTTTGAGACCCTCCAGGTAGGAAGTAGGATAATACCTTTCGTTAGACGATGACTGCTCTCATTCCAGTTCATTATTCATTGATCATCCTATCACTCGATGCTAGCCCGAGTTACGGACAGCGTCATTAAATATTCATAAACAAATTAAAAAATAATCACCAGCAATGATCATCTTCCCACATAGATAAACGGTTTTTAAAACATGACATTGTTACTCTTGGTTTTGGGGCCGTGTAGACTACTCTGTAGACGTGCAAACGTTTGGAGACGGAGACTTCATGTTTCTCCTCGACTTTAGCATCCGCCAAAACCCAGAGCTTCATAATCACGCTTACCGCCGTGAAAACCAAAAATTTCCCACGATGTGAAACATGTTAACGGATATAATTTTCCAGGAAACTCTGTGGGTCTTCACTGTCCCTGCGCTGATCCTTAATCTCAAGAGGCCTGTTAGTGCCCCCCCCCCACCCCTCAGGATGCCTCTTAATTACGCCCCGTGGGAAAGATTGACATTTTGAGTCAGCTTGCTGGCCTTTTGAAGCGAGAAAATTTCAGAGTGTGACGTCATTTAAGCACACTTCATGATGGTCTTTGAAGAATTGGCGGGAATGTTGTATCAGACGCTTGCTGGAAAACTAGTTTTTGACTTGTCGTGTTCTTTGATACCAATTCGAGTTGTAAGTAACCACGTTTTGATAAACAGTACGCGCTGTCGGCAAACTAAGACCTTTATTGGTCTCCAAAGTTGATGACTGATTGCACGGTTATTTTATGACGCTGTTTCAAGCACACAGTCTGTACAACATCGCATTAGATCGGCAACTGGTGGTAAAGAATTCGGTGAGAGGCGTTCATACTGTGGTAGTATCCCAGAGTTCTCATTAATATGCTGCGGAGAGCTGCTTAATGTCTAATGTCAGGAAAGTTTAAACTGGAGCTAGTTAGGCCTACTTCCTTAATACAATTGTAGAACGTTACCTCTTCATTAACCTGCTCGACGTGTGAAGAATTTCTTAGAATTGACAAACAAGCTGCAATATTTTAACAACGGCCTAGGTAACAATTTTCGCAGTTTTATCCATTTAACCCTGCGCCCAAGCACCATGTCATTTGGAGTAACAGTAAAGTATTTTTTACTTCGCTGATATATTATTTAGAGCAACCAGCTTCTCGATTCGTCCCTCTTAACCCTTGTGGAAAGAAAGAACGTTACCTGTCGGCTAGGACTGTGACTGTCTCTGCCGAGAATCGAACCATGATTGTGAACCCCACAGCCATCAGATCTACCTCACGAGCCTACTTAGATTTAAGAAAGTGGATACGTAACGGGTTGTACGGCTTTTGAACTCGATTAAATTGTTCCAGAATCAACTGCAATGGCGTGTTTTTGAACAGCGTTCTGTTGCTAGGCGATCGGTTCTGTCACCGCCCAAACTGATGAGACGTGTGTTTTGAAATTTGACTTGTACATCTCGCGTGTATTTTTCATAACATGACGCTCGTTCTGGCATCGACCCTGGCGGTGCATGTGAGATTCTGTTTACGATAGAAAGAAAATTTCTCCTCTTTACAACTCGTGTTCCCACGTATTTTCTGCAACCCGCCAAACTTCCTTTATAATGCGTGCTGGGGTCTCCTCCGTCCTTCCCCTTCGGGCGATGGAGTTGGACCACAAAGATCACTACTCACTCATCTTTGTTTAATCCTGATATCACGAATGCGCAGAGCTTTGCCTCCACTCCTCCTATACGCCTTCATGAGCTTTAATTTGAATGCAAAGAATGGATGCGTCTACGTAAATGTTAACAGAGTTTAAACCCTGGTCGTGCCAGGTCAGGATTTCGTCAATGCTGTTAATAATGCAGAAACCTTCAATATTTATAAGTCGCCTAGTGGCGACAGTACATTAGCTGACAGTGACGGTGGACATTAAGATTTCATAGACTTATTAAAAATGAATACGTGTCTAGTGCTGAAGGTTTAACGGGGCAGAAAATGTGATGTAGCGACTGATAACACTTAATGCGGTTCACGACAATCATTATCGAAGGTCCTTACACGAAGATATATTAATTTTGTTAATTTCTTGTAATAATTTTTTCTCTCTCAAAAAAGCTGCAGGTGCTAACATATTCTTGAGAAGCTGACAGTATTTTAAGACTATTAAGACATATAATCATAGCGGGAAGTTTATGATTAGTGCTGTAACCCAGTATTTTTAGCAAAAAGACAATTCTTCAACCAGATAGTAAAGACATTCGCGGCCTTTTGTTAAATCCGAACATTCCGCCGCTGATTCCTGTCCTGAAAAATTTTAGTCTGAGTGGGATTTGAGGTTTTTCACGGAAGATGGCTGTCTTGCCCTGATTATAGAGGCAGCAGGGACCTCTGAAACATCGGTAAACTTCTACCAGACTACACGGCGATTCAGTTAACATCCTCAGACCCTTCATCTTTAATAATAATAATAACATCATCCGCGTAGGGCATCATCTCCCAAGTGATTAGTTCCCTTCAGAAATTCTCTTCTAAAATTTTGTTTTTATTATATCTGCATTGCGTTCTACGTGTCCTCCCATCTCATCGCCATTGATTATTTGATGGAACTTATATTTTTGGCGAATGTTAAACGTAACGAAACTTGTCATGTGATTCTATCCGTCATATTTTCTCCCTCTTAGTTCCAAACTGTCTCCTCAACACGCTGTTCTCTAACATCTGGTATTACTGGGGCCTAGAGTTCGAGGCTAACGTGAGTAGGGTACGTCATGCAATTGAAGACACAAATCTATAAATTCGCAAGAATTTTGAAAAGCGGTCATTTTGGAAAAACTAGTATGAGATGTTAGTACAAGAGTATACTGCATTTTGGTTTAGTGGTCTGCTTTCTGTCATCACAGAATCTTCGTGTGTTGATTCTCACCTCTCCTTTTTTGAAGTCTATGTTTGTCCGGACGGTGCGATGGTTCAAAGGCTGAAACGGTCTTGCGTTGTTGCCCAGAGGAGCTTTCGGCTCGTTCATGGGGCCCTGCATTAATTTACGAAGCGCGTACAACTGAAAAAGAAACACAAACATATTATCACACGCCATAAAACTAAAGTACCAACCACAATTTGCGTGAAAAAATAGCATTCACGCATAAACTGTGAAATTTGGTAGATTAGTGTCTAGTAACTGACTACTCCTTGATGAGCCTGTATGTAGCCTACCCGATAAGCTGTCTATTAATTTATAAAAAGGGTTCTCGACCTTTTTCGCTGGCGTACTACTAATTTTAATTTTAAACATTAAATGTACCATTAACCAAATGCGACCAGGGCAAAATTATTTGTGTTAATATTATATTTTGATTTTCCTACTTAATTCGCGTACCTTAGGTTGAGAAACTCTGATTTATAGGATTTGAAATTTCGTGTTCATATCCAACCAAATGGAATATATCCTGAACCTTTAGTCCTCTATCCACACACACACACACACGTATCTTAATTATCTTGGGAATGTAATTAGTATCTTCCCGCCCATAATACTTCTCTTGTTTTATCCTAACAGTAAC